GAACAGAGGATGGAGATTGAGTCCTGCCAAGTTAGAACTTAGTGAAACTCTTGGGCTTTTCATAGATAGGAACTAACAAACTAAACCTATACTAGTTTTAAGGTGACCACTCATAACAAGAATTTGCTAAAACAAAACTCATCACTTTTCAGAAGATAACAGTCTAGAATCTCTATGACATATACACAATGTTCAGGATTCAATAAAAAATTACTACACATACAAAGACACAAGAAAATGTCATCCATAGTTTAAGAAATTGAAATGGCCTTTGTCGTTTATTATGTTAATTTGTTAATATATGTATTAAAAACATGTTTAAAGATTAAATGAAAATACTGTTAATGAGTGAACGGATAAGTAAATCTGCACAGAAATGAAAATTATAACCTAATGGAAATTCTAGAACTGCAAAGTACAATAACTGAAATGATACATTCATTGGATGGGTTTAGCAGCAGATTGGAAATGGCAGTAGAATGAACATGAAGGCATACAAATGTAGCTGTCTGTGTTTGGAAATACAGGGTTAAAATGTTGAGAGACCCAGAAATATGAGCTTGGGATTCATCAAATATTTGAGTCCTCAAAATGCTGTCTACCCCACCCCCTAACACATAAGCCTAACGATACATGAAAAAACAATGATCCCTCTTTCAATTACTCAGTACCTGATGTGTAGAGAACTGTTCTGAGTACTGGGGATACAGCAGTGACAAAGTCCTGCCTTCATGGACTTAAATTCCAAAGGAAGAGATAGATAATTATTTTCTATACTCATAGTAATAATATCATGAGAAAAATCAGAATAAAAGAATAGTGGTAGAGTGTTATTTTAGATACGATGATTGGGGAGGACCTCCCTGAAGAGGTGGTGTGAGAACAATGTGAATATCCTGTGCAATACTATCCAATATAATTATAATGCAAGCCACCTATGTAATTTAAATTTTTTTAGTAACCACACTTAAAAGACGGATGAAATTTTGATATTTAACCAATATGTCCAAAATATTACCATTTTTGCATGTAATCAATATAGAATACTACTAATGAGATATTTATATTCTTTTTTATTAAATCTGAAATCTAGTATCTATTTTACATTTGCAGCACATCTCAATTTGGACACTGGACAATTTGTCATTGAAATATTTGGTGTTCATCAAATTAAAGTTCAATAAGTATATTCATATACTCATGTCCCAAACATGAGTTTTCCAATAACTGAATCAAGTATTATTTTTCAATAGAATTTACTTTTTAGGGTAGTTTCAGGTTCACAGAAAAACTGAGTGGAAAGTACAGAATCCTCACATACCCCATTCCTACACACACACACACACACACACACACACACACACACACAGCTTCCTCCACCATCAACATCCTGCACCAGTGTAGAATTGTTAACAATTGATAAACCAACATCGATACATCATTATCCACCAAAGTCCTTAGTTTACATTAGGATGCACACTTTGTATTGCACATTCTGTGTGTTTGAACACATGTATAATGACACGTATCCACCTTTGTAGTATTACGCAGAATAGTTTCATGGCCCTAAAAATCCTTTGTGTTCTGCTTAATTCCTCCTTCCTTACCTCTAAACCCCTGGCAACCACTGATCTCCATAGTTTTGCCTTTTCCAGAATGTAATCTAATTGGAATCATACAAGAGTCCCCCAAATCTTTTCATGGCTTGATGGCTCATTTCTTTTTAGCTGGTTAATATTTCATTGTGTGGATGCACCACGGTTTATCCATGCACCTACTGAAGAATATCTTGGATGCTCCAAGTTTGGGCAATCATAAATAAAGCTGCTGTATAAAAATTTATGTTCAGGTTTTTGGGTGGACATAAGTTTTCTACACCTTTAAGTAAATACCTAGGAACATTTTTTTTTGTAGTAAAACACATAAAATATACTGTTGTACATTTATATTTAAAATGTATAATTTAGTGGCATTAAGTGCCATTCACAGTGTTGTGCAACTATTACCACTAACTAGTTTCAGAATTTTTTCATCACCTCAAATGTAAATCCTGTTAAGCACTTGTGTTAATTTTAAAATTTAAGCTAATTAAAATTAAATTAAGTTCCTTCGTCATAGCACATTTCAAGTGCCCAGTAGCCACACAGGATAGTGGCCCACGGTTATTGAATAGCATAGGTCTAGGAGAAGATAATTAGAGGCAGAAGAAACAAAAAGTATAAAGCCCTTGATGCAGGAGTACATTTTTTCAAAGAACAGTTAGTAGGCCAATATTACTGCAGTACAAAGAGCAAGAGGTAGGGAATGTAGTCAGTGACACAGCCATGAGTCACCTAATAAAGGGCCTTTCATGTCATAGTAAAGACTTTACATTTTATTTTAAGGGTGACAGAAAATTTATAGAGGTTTAAAATTACCACTCTGGCTGCAATGTTGAAAAGACTGAAGAAGGTTCAAGAATGAAGCAGGAAGACTTTAAAGGCTGTTATTTAGGTGAGAGGTGATGGTTCTTGAATTTGAACTAGGGAGGTAGTTGAGGTGAGAAGTGTTTGGATTCAGGACATATTTTGAAAGTTTAGTTTATTGTACTTAACAGTAGATTGGATGTTAGATATAAGAAAAAATATATTCTGTAATGTGGAGATTACTGAGAGAGGCAGGTTTGAGAGAAAACTAAAGAGTAGTTTTGACCATAAGTTTCAGATGGCCATTGCCATCAAGTGATTGCAATCTTGGAGCAAAATGACTGTTCTGATATTTCAGTATTTATTATGGATATTATTTCCTTTGTTGCAATAAGAAAATGATAAACATGTAACTCCTGGAGATAGATTAATATAAAGACTATGTAGTGCATATGCCTTATAAGTCAGGTAAAAGGTAAATGTATTCCATATACCTTGGAATAAGGAATGTACTGAAAGACTGAAGATCCAAGATACTTATATTACATTACTTAGTGAACATCCTATTTCATTAGTTTTCATATAGCAATAGTTTTGAATAGTTTAAGAAGCATGCATGCTACTAGTTTTTTTTGCACGATTTTTTCTGAGGCTACTGCTTCGCATCTAAAAACTTCTGAGTTTTTAAGCTCATATTTTAAAACTTAATTTTATTCTAAAATCTTGGACAGGGTTGTTACCAAAATTTAATGACATTAACAACTACCATTTAAGGAGCAAGGAAAACACCTTGCTAAGTGTTTTCCATAAATAATCTCATTTGATCTTCACAACAATCCACTTAGAAAAGAAGCTAGTAGAGATCATTGGATGTAAATGACTAAGGTGAAAAATAGAACATACCAGTTCTCTGTGAAAAATGGTGTTAAAATGTTAAATTGCAAAAGCTTTTAGGCTTACTGACAGCAACCTTTCTAAACATCTAATAATAGTAACATTGTTGTAGGAGACAGTAGGATGTGGTGTAATAAGCAGAAAAAGGCTTTGAGTCCTGATTGTTACGGGCTGATTGTAATTGTCTTTGGATAAGGCATCTGTTTTCCCTTTTATCTGCCCCCCCCACCCCCACACACATACACTTTTAAGTTTTTGTTAGGAATTTTGGCAGCAGTAACTCCAACTCTCTTCTTGGAAGTAAGGTCTTCAACTGAAGATTTGGGGGACTAATATCACTAATTCCACCTATCTCACAGGGTTGATGGGACAATAAAAATGCATATAAAAGTGCTTTGTAAATGACAAGTTTTAAGATATTGAAAGTTTGAAATAACTGCTACCTCGAACACTTTTTTCCAGAAATATTTACAATTTTTACCTGATTTAAAAATTAGCTATCAAATGGGGGTAATTGCTTTCCATGATACATAATGGATTATCAGCAATTGTTTGTTGGTTTCTAGTTAAGTTTTTCGGGAACCTATTATTTTGGTAACTACTACCAGTTCTGCACCTTGTATACCATGGGCTCTCAATAAATGTTGCGTTCAGAGTGTTCTTTTACGAGTTAGATTTAGAGTGCAAATGAACTCTGAATTCTGAAAGGACTTTCATATAAGGCTTTCAGGAGACAACTCAATCTGCTCCACCTTTTGAAAAGAAAACCAGATTCACAAGGCTGCCTGCTTCTCTGCTTCACCTATCTGTCCCTCTCCATTCCCAGCGCACAGAACTGTTCAGTGGAATCTCGTCTTTGAACTTTACATCTGTTGTTTCCTTTAGACACTCTTCCTTTATGTCTCTTAGATGTCATCTCACGAGAGCCTTCCTAGGTCTCATCACCGGCACCTCTAATATACTCTTACCACGCCTGTCATTATTTTATCAAACTGTATTTAAATTATGCTTGTCTTAACGTGACTGTGAGCTTTGGGAAGGCAGGGTCCGTGTCTGCCTCGTTCACTGTTGTATCTAGTTTGGTTCTAACATACTGTTTTTAAAATAAATATTTCTTGTTTGAATAATGACAGTGGTCGGGAGTTTCAGTAAACAAACACTGCTCTTCCAACCATTAGGCTTGGTGTTCTGATATTCTGGACTGGACGCTCCGTATTGACACATTTTCACCACGTGAGGTGTCGGCCCTTTGACCAAAGCCTGCAGGTAGGAACAGGAACCCATTCGCCTGAATGATGTGACTTCTCAGAACCACTGCCGCCAACGTGGTGGAGTCGAAGTGTGGGTTGTATGACAGATCCGCCAGCAACTGCTATGCCCTCTAGGCAGTGAACTGGAAGGACCTTCAGGGAGTACCTGGATACCAGGAAGGACGAAAGGTTCGTCTTATCCCGGCCTGGGCAGCGCTTTCCATAGACCACCTCGTCCAGCGCGCCAAGGCGTTAGTCCCACCCCGTCTCACTCGGCTCCACCCACCTGGCGCGCCCAGGTTACTAAACCCTGGCCGCCAGGACGCGCGACGCGTTCCTAAGCCCCGCCTCCGGGGCGAGGGCAGCTCCCCTCCCACCTCTGCCTGTGCAGTTCCGTTAGCTGCGGGAGGAAAAACCGTCCTTCGGGTCCACGCCTCTCCACTCCCAACACTTTACGCCCTACTCTAAGACCACAGCACAGCCAGCTACGGAGGCCCCTAAAGTACAAGTGTTCCCCAGGCTCTGGCCTATCTGATAGATTTTGTCCTTGTTACTCCATCCGGTCCGAAGGCCTTGCGTACAGTTTTTGTCCGGAATTCCAGCTTGTGAGTTTCTTCTGGCAGCAGGAACTCTAACGCTCATCACGGAAATAAAAGCTGTTTTTTTTTTTCTTTTTTTTGCCGCTGTGGCTGCCCGCATTCCTTCCCCTCCCACCTCGCGGAATTGTGGCGGGTGGGGGAGGAGAAAGTCAAGGCGCCTGCGCGGTGAGGCCGCTTTCCATCCGGGTCCCTGTCCGTGCGGTGCAGCAGGTCGGTAGGCGGGAAATGGCGACTGGCTGAAGGAGCTGGTTCTGTTGCTGCTGCGGGCAAAGCGGGAAAGACACCACACATTGCGCAGTCGGGACCATCGACGGAGTCTGAGGACACTTCTCTGTCGTCACAGTTAGGTAATCCCCCTCGTCTAGACACTGCCGCTGCTTCCAGTCTTAGTCGTCCTCCTCTTCAGGGCCGTCTGCCGGGATCTCCTCCCCTTCTCCGCCGGGTTCTCCAGCGGCTCCGGCACTGTGGTAGGCGCGCTGTTGGCGCCCCGTGGGTCGGCGATGTGGAGCCGCTCTTCTCTCGACTTTCCCCGAGAAGAGAAAAGGAGCTCGCTTCCCGCCAGCCTCAGCTCCTAGGCTGCGGCCTGTGTTTTGATTTCTGGGGTTAGATTCCACTTTGCTACCCACCCCCACCCCAATCTCCAGTTCCTAGTCCCAAACCCTGTGGTCCCCTCCGGGTAACTGGCTTAGATCAGCTTTTCTAACCTTGGCCCACCTGATGTTTTGATGTTTCATTCTTTCTGGTAGCGTGCTTTTAGGGGGGCGTTGCTCTATCTCAGTTTTTATAAACACCCTTTGATGATCTTGAAGAAGAGATTTCACTTAGTTCTGTTTATCTTATGTACTGTTAAAATGTTGAGCTGACATTGTTACTTTTTCAAATCAAGAGTGGTAGTAAAGAATAGCCCATGGAGGCCTCTGGTTTATATAGTGGTCAGTTAAGGGTGAATCTTTTCGTCCGTAGCATTCGACACTTTCTTTGGGTATTAAATGCCCGAATGGATGTTTACTTTTGCATTGTTGATAAGAATTCCGTGGCAAATAATTGCATAAGTAAATCGTGTTTATTTACTTCTCACCCTAGTGGTGGTTGGATGTGTGAATGATGTTAAGCACTTCAGAGTACCTTAGGGAAGCCCAAAGAGATACCGCTCGTAAACTGCCCTAAGATGCTGAAATGAAATGTACTTAGTAAATACTCCTCTAAGGCAGATCTTTCTAAGGCTAATAAGGCAAATTTTTATTACAGCAACAAATATTACTGTCCAACATGGGTATATAAATTAGTGACTTAAATGATAAATTCATTTTAGTAATCTTCAGATTGTATATTTCTTTGTCTCCACATTCTTTGCCGTTTTAAATTGTCGTTTGTGATCCAGTCGTTTCCCTTATAAAGCAAAGAGATGGCTAGTTGAGGCTAGTTTTATTCCCTTTCTCTTTTTTCCACATTGCGGACCACTTGTCCATAAAGAAAAGTAGTAAGGAGGCTCGTTGGTCTTTTTCAGAATTTATTTTTTGATTTTGTTGAATTTGAGATCTTTATAGGTTTTTCTTAGTCAAACTAAGTCTTAAAAATGTGGTTTGAGTTACAGTATCATTTGATGTTGATAACTTAAAGGCTTTCTCAGCTTTCTAGGTTCAGTTTAGAAGACTTCACTATTGTTAGCATATTAGGATTAAGTTTTAATAATAAACAGAAATACACTAATATCATTATAGTCATCATTTGGTAGATTTCCCCCCCTCCAAGGTCATAAAGAAAGTCAACGTAACATTAGCTTCTAGGCTAAGCAGTATTTTAGGTTTGAGTTGAACTTAATACTTACCTTCTGGGACCAGAATAATAAAGGGTGGGAAGTGGAGGTTGAGGGCATGTTGGACACTTGCTTGCCAAGTTGTTTAAAAGATAGGACCAAATATGTGACTTAATAGGATGTAAAATAAATTATTAATTTAGGCTTTATCTGTATGTAAATGGCCTTTTTGGGTAGTTTATAAAGCATTAATGTTTTTAATAAAATTTGGTTTACCTATAGCTGGGAGAGCATTGTATGTAGACTTTGTCAAGCATTCTCCCAAACTGTTTTTATTCTACATACATTCAGCACTGGGGCTCTTTTAATACTCTTCTCAGTATGCGTTGAAAGGATGTAAAATCTCTTAAGTTGTATAGACCTAACCTTTGTGGACTTGCAACTGTGTAGAAATTCCAAATACAATTGCGTAGAAAAACCAAATAGGATTGGTATGTTTCATAATATTCCATGCTGCATAGTGTCTCTTGGGCATTTCATTTGAGCTAGTTATGCTATTCCTTTTCCACTATTAAGAAATTAAGAATTGGGGAAATTTTATATTTCCCAAATTCATCTAACTGATCCCATGTTTGAGATTTCTGGTCAAGAGGTTTCTTTACAAAATGATTATATAATAGAATCCTTTCAGTGTTGGGGGAAAAAACTTCAGCTCTCTTGTTAAGAAAGGATGTACCAGACTTGTAACTAGAGAATTGCAGACTGAATAAAATGGTATTCAATTTCTTTATTCATAGGAGACTGGTTTGGATTAATGCGATAAAAAATGAGGTGGTTTATCAAAATTCAAAAGAAGCAATATCTAATTATATTTGTAATTTACCAAATTATAAACATATAAAGACACTTGAAGTCATAAATACCAAATGTGCTGAGAGGACCTCATATATGGTGTTCTCTAAGTAACTCTTGGGTGGGATAAAAAGTTACCTGGCCATGTTAAGCAGATTGGCTACAGGGGGTCATTTGCACTACTTTGAAGATGAGAAGATTAACATGCAGGATTTATGATAAAACTATACGATTGCAGTTTTAGATTCCATTTGCCATGAGGCATATGTCTAAGCCAGACATATGTTCACTACTGGTTGTATGACTAAATTAATTTTTAATTTAAACTGTATTAAATTGTAATTGGATCTACATTACTAATAGGTAGATTGGATGGTTGACTGTGGTATAATTTGAGAACTGCCATTGCCAAATTTTGTGTCTGTCTGTCTGTTACGGAATTCTTTCTAAAATGTTCTGTTTGAAATATTGAAATTCTCTGAAAGAGAAACTTTTAAATTACTGTCTTTTATCAACAATATTAGCAAAGAATCATTTATTAAATAAACGTGCTGATACTACAAACAGGTGAGGGTTCAGAGGCAGTGGGGATACAGAAGTAAGCTTTTGCTTGCGCGCTGTGATCAGGATAGGTGTGGCATTTAGGAACATTGTCTAGGGGAGAAAGGCATGGTGGGGGTAGAGCCTTAGTGAGAAGCTTGGGCCTCTTGGGGTCCTTTGGGAATCTTGTGAATCTGACAGTAATGAGGGGTGAGATTAAGGTGGTACCAAGAAGAATCATGAGACCTTAAGGACAAACATGGTTTATTGATTTGGCTAGCCTTTTGTTTGTTTACTTCATCTGCAGTTCTCTCAGTTAATATACTTTTTTTTTTTTTGAGAGGGCATCTCTCATATTTATTGATCATATGGTTGTTAACAACAATAAAATTCTGTATAGGGGACTCAATGCACAATCGTTAATCAACCCCAAGCCTAATTCTCAACAGTCTCCAAGCATAACGAACAAGTTCTTACATGGTGAACAAGTTCTTACATAGTGAATAAGTTCTTAGATGGTGAACAGTGCAAGGGCAGTCATATCACAGAAACTTTCGGTTTTAATCACACATCATGAACTACAAACAGTCAGGTCAAATATGATTATTTGTTTGATTTTTATACTTGATTTATATGTGAATCCCACATTTCTCCCTTATTATTATTATTATTATTTTTAATAAAATGCTAAAGTGGTAGGTAGAT